GAAACCAAAACGAGACTGAGATAAGAGTGTGAAGAGAAGAACATGCAGATAAAATATGCATCAAATTTCAAACCAGATCAGGCACTTGCATATCCAACAGAGTAGTACATTAGATAGTAGTAATGTGAACACTTGATTCCGTATAAGTTCTGGTTTGACCAGTAAACATACTGGTCCAGTACATCCAGAAATCGGTAACGAAATCATGACAAACGGTGTGCAAATAGTCGCGCGCTCGTCAAACTGGATCGCACACATCATGGGAAACCCTTATGCAGATCCCAGAAGACGTTCCTCAAACGGTCTAGCACCTCCGAGGAACTTCCAGCCATCCGCAGTCAGCACATTACGGGTTCGTATAGTGCGCGCATGATTGTTTTCCGTGCATGCGGATAATGGTTGCGGCAATGCCGTGCGCGGCGATCACCGCACCTCCGAAGATGATATCTACGGTCTCGACGACAGCGCAGACGAAATAATCTGTGTTTGTCACAGTCCGACGTAATCACACAGAAGTAATGCACACACGATGGAGGTAAAACAGACGTATTCGCTAGAGTTTTTCCTGGTGAATGAAATAACTATAGTCGTAAGGGAAGCCTTGAATGTCAGAAAATATGATAAATATCAGTGCGATACTGTTTGCTATTTTACTAGGTTGCAGTGACGATCCCAGGCTTTCCGACTCAGTCGAGGATTTTTTTTTCAGAATTTTTTCTGAATGAAACTGCTTTAATTAACGCCACGCACTCCGAAAAATATTGGGTTGCTTCCCAAAATTTTTGCTGCCCATAACCACGAACTTTTAGAAAAGGGGGATGCAAAATTTTCCCAAGTATTTACAAGTATAAACAAGTCATTTGCGGATCATTATAACCTTTGTAAGTAATCCTTCCCCCCCCCCCCCCCAAAAAAAAAACTTCGTGATCTTCTAAGTCAATGAATTTGCTTAAGTTGAAATTCATAGATTGAAAAATTCTTGCGCTTTCAGCAGTAATAAAATCATGGTTCTTTTCCCGCATGTCGCAATGGTATAAGCTGGTTAAAAAAACACCCAAAAAGTGGTTTTTCAAATTTTGCTTACTAAAATTGTTGAAAGGTACTGTGAGTTATGAGCTTTGGGTTTGGTCTCGGTTTTATGACCTGTACTTTGTAGATAGCTAACGCAAACTCGTACTGGTCGGATGTCTCTGATATTAGCTATGATTTACGAATTTCACAACTTATTTTCTCATTTTGATAATGGAGTGTTTGAGACGTTTCATAACCGTCATTCATTATGTCATGAAAATATGTGATAGTCTAGGTTTTTCACACATTTTCATCGAATTTCCCTAGTTTGTAGTGCAAGGCTAATATATCCACCTGATATGGTACAAAATACGTAAAAATTTGGATGACATACGGTCAGTGGAATTACATGGAATGAAGGTGAAGAAGCGTAGAAACAGAGGATTTCCATTTTTTCAATAATTTTTCTAATCCCAAGTCCAATAGTTGATTTAGCAAATGTCGATATTTCGAGGCTATGCAGGATGACTAACATGTAGATGTAGACTTGATTAGAACGAGAAATAAACTACGTAAAAAGATTGTGGACCAGTCTCGAGAGTAGACGAAATGCTAATGAAATAAGAACGCAAAGACACTTGAGATTTGGAAAGCAGAGGTATCTGTACACAAGCTTTTCTACAAACTGAATGATGAGCAAAGTACATATTCATACAAGACCTGAGGATTAGTCTTCCAATGTAAATTGTAGTTGGATTATTATGAAAAGTGGAATCCAAGGTGGGGGCCAAGGGGATTGAAAAGAGCAAAGCCAAAGTTGTGATAAATGCGGACTAATAGCTGAAAGCTTTTATCAACCCTGCCTTCATAGGAACGCTCAGGATCTCGCTGGAATTTTT